CTTTAATTCACAGCTTGAACAGGCTGCCAAATTTTGTTTTCTCTGCTCCCAGGTGGCTATCCCTGATGCAGTGGAGAACTTCCAAAAATATATTAAGTCCTTAGGAAAAGTTGGCAAGCTCTGAGATGCAGGGCATACAAGACAGGTTAAAAGCAAGAGCTGGTGTGCGTCTCGGTTTGAAAATCGGAATGGCTGCAAGTAGTGAAAGTCACCCAGATGATCAGTTTATTAGGAGAGTTTAGTTTGGCTTCTGTATGCCTCAAACTCATTAGTAGTATTTCTAAGTTCCAAGCACCAAAGCATGTATTCTGAGTAAGAATTAATATGATTAAGAAAATAATGGCCATTTTCCCCTGCCTCGTTACACAGTCACTTTGCTACCGAAATTGTATCTAAGTAGCAGACCAAACACCTACTTAAGGGAAGAATACATGAAATTGCTAGAGATGAGGGTTATTGCTCTGCAATGAGGCACGTCAGTTCTCAAATCTCAAATCAATCAGACTCTCAAAGGAAACGTTTTGATGATGAAAGTTTTGGTAGAAGGATGGTCAGAGTTGTAATGAATGTGAGGGGTTTTTTTTGGTAAAAATAAAATCTTGAAATTCATCTAAAAAATAATGTAATGTTCGTTGTTGGTTATAACGAACTGGAAAACATTTCTAATAATCTTTCTATTCTCTATAGTATTTAAATCTTCATACCACATAGAGAACAGTTGAGAAATAATGCTTTATTTAAAGCAATTTTGACCCAGTTTTGTATCATCTAAAAAAGAGAGGTATAATTTCTTGTGGGACTCCTTCCCACCAACTTCAGCTCTACAAGTTTATTTGAAGGTTGTGTCCAGGTTCAAAGGGCCAAATTTGGTGTACCAAATCCCTGTACTCATCAGATCCTGTGAGGAAGGGCAGCCTGGTGGAAAGAAAGAGGGATTTGAGCCTATGCAGCCCTCAGCCTGCATTCAAGTTTTCCCACCAAGGAGTAGTGTAACTTACTTGGCCCTTCTGTGTACTCAGAGCCAAAATACACATTCAAGAAGGGTATGCACATTGTCTTCCCACTGCACTGTGCACACTTCACAGGGAGGGACTGTATTCTAGCTTTTCTTTTCTCATCTGTAAAATGGGAATAATTTGAAGCCCCTCCAGGATGGTGGCAAGCATACTAGGGTGATGTATGTAAAAGCACCTGGCATGGGCCTGGCACATGTGCTCAGTAGCACAATGATTATTGTCTGAGACTTCTGCCATTCCTGTGATAGTATAATTTCCTTTCCTCCTAACTAGTGCTACAGCCAAGGACTTGTTCACATGGCATGTATATCCGTCACTCAAGAGGGAAACTGAGGCTGGCCCCAACTAGTCTGTCTCCATAAGGCTTTTCATCAACTCTCTGGGTCCATGGCTGGGATGTTTTCAAACCTGTAGCTAATACCGTAAGTGGAGGAACTGGTTTTATGGCAAGGAAAGAAGAGCATTATGGCTACATCTGCCTTTATATTGGGCTTTTATGGAAACCATCCAGGCATTCTCGACAGCATGGCTTAAAACACAGGAGCTGCTTGATTAAAAGGGGGTCTGGATGGTTTCCAACTGGACAGAGTCCAGATGCTAACAACCAAGTATAACAAAGGAACTGCATATTTGGAGCTGCCATCTTCTCAATAGTACTCACAAAATTAGCTAAAGTCAAGGACTGACTAGATGCATACCCTTGAGTTCATGTATGCTGTCTGAAAATGATTCTCAGGGCAACTGAATACATCTTATCTGTTCCTATTTAGGATGGCTCATAAAAGACCAACAAGGTTATGTATTTTTGTAAAGGCACTGTACTGACAAGTAACTAACAAGATGTTATAATCAAGTAGATGAAGCAATCCAACTCAACAAAGAAAATCCAAGTTCTTTGGGCTTGGTTTCAGTTTTCTCCTCCATCACTTCTTAATGACTTCATTAAGAAACAAGAAACTAACCCAATGTCTAGTGTGTCCATTCAATCCTGGAATTTTGTAATTGAAATAAATTGATCTTTTAGAAGCAGAATGGACATGATATTACTGTACAAATATACAAGTCTATAGCCTGAGAAATAAGATTTGACCTTCATAAGCCCATGCCCCACCCTCTTTTTTGGGACAGAGACCTATTTTGAAGGAGGCTGGAAACTCCATTGGATTTAGAAGACCTCAGTGAGGCCTATTCCAAGACTGAAATACAGCTCAGACTCATATAGGCTGAGGGAAACAAGAACTGCTGGGTCTTCTTTCCTCTGGAAATTATTAAGGGTTAAAGTTAAATGCACTTTTATGTTGTCAAGTTTAATTACTAAAGAGTATAACTGTTTACATTTGAATTCTGACAAGTGTTTGTGTGTATACCTGTACGTGTATATGTATGCATGTGCAAATTAATTTGTTTAATTTCCCTTACGGGGCTTTATCTGTATACTTTGAAATAAAAATAAATTCCCCCATGATTTAAACTCACATCTTCTGAATCTTACATCAGTGCTTTCCCCTCACTACCATAACTGCCACAGAGCAGAGACCCAAACCCAGATCTTGAAACTCTCCCAGGCCAATGCTCTTGCCTCATGGGCAGTCAGGGTCCCAGCTGGACCCGGTAGGATGCCACCCCATGGATGGAGACACCACAAAAAGCACTGTGTGTCAATGGAGTATATTGAGTGAGCAAAGACCCAGTTTTCCAAAAGGCCAGTCATACTGCTGGGGTCAGGCCCAGAAAGAGCAGTGACTATCAAGAACACAGAGGGAGGCTGGCTGGTTACCAGCCTGCACTCAGGCGCACTTGGGCCAGTGTTTTCAGATCTGTTGCCCATGCATACAGTCCTAATAGACAATTCAGACTCAAATGGATGATCTGTATTTCATCAACCAGAGAAAAGAGGCCAAGATGGAGGAAACTAATAAGCACCCCAGTAATTAAGAGATTATGTTTTATAAGACTCTCAGCTCTCTCTACTGCAGTAAGTGGACGGAGCATGTCCAGGACATTTGCTGGCCTTGGGAAGGTGGCTCCCCTGTAGCAGGGCTGACTTAGGGTTGCTTCCCACCAAGTTCTGGTCACCAGCAGTCTGTCTATACTCAGAATGTTCTTAGTTACCTGGAGGATTACTCTGCCAAATGGAAAATCCTGGAAGCTGGCTTAAAAAGCACAGTGTAGTAAAATGTGGGAGAATGATAGTAATGACTAAGCTGATAATAATTTGGAAGCTAAAAATAAAAAAATAATTATTATAACTCTGATCTGTCTTGTGTTAAACCCATATCCTACCATAAAAAGGGAACTTATTCCAGCTAAAGTCTGATGGACAATGCTTGCACTTTAGATCAGTAGCTAAAAAGAGAGCAGCTCATTCATAAAACTGACTCCCTGTCTTCTAGTTTTATTGATGCTTCCTATAGAGAACCTTAGTCCTATTGAACGCACTACATACCTCTGTGCTATGAAGTGCTGTTCTCTGGAAATGCAGCCTCCAACTACAAACCACAATTGGCAAGTTTATTTCTGTTACTTACAAACTATTGAAATGTCACATTTTATGGTCTATATGGAAATCAGCATATTTCACAGCTGGAGCCTAATACTCTTGCTTTGGAAGCAAGGGCATTCTACAATGGGAAAAATATTTTTTATTTTTTCATGTTTGGAAACATTCGTTGATTTCCTAAAGACACAAGTATGTGTGTGTGTATGTGTGAATTTTATTCACTTTTTAATGGGAGTGGGACAAGGTAGGAGGATAAGATCTATTGTTTACTAGCATAACAAGGGGAAGGGCAATTCAAAATGTGATTAACGGAAAAGCTGAAATGAATAATATCAAAGATGATTTTGATTTCCATATAATTTGATCCTTAAATCAGGGTTTTGGTTTTATTTTCCCCCTCTTTTTTTTTTCACTTCTTTAAATGGAGAATTCTTGGTTGTTGAAATTGAACTTGGAATTAGAAGGCAGAGATCACGCGAGAAAACCAAATAAGAGGACTGGCGATGGGGTGAGGGCTGTGGGGGCTTTCCTGCTCAACAGAACCAAGAACATGGAAATGCCACTGACTTGCCCAGAGCCTCTGTCTATTTGGGAGTCATTCCCAGTTGTTTTATGCAATTATTCGTGATATTCCAAAAGATGAGCAATTCACTTCAAGTGTGCCATTAGGCCACTTGAATGTTATAAATTATTTCATTTTGAAAATTTTCAAGTATGTGATCATTACTCACACAGAAAAGTCGACTTCCATGTTCTATTATTAGGAATGAAAGAAGTTATGAGAGAAATACTCCCTTGATATGCTCTTGGACAAATGTATATTAGAAAATCTACAATAGTTAATCTGAGGAAATTGGTTTCTCCATACCTCTCCTTCAGTTAACATTAACAAAAAAGAAGACAGTGCTGAGTGAGTTGCAAGGCCTTGGCTTCTGAACTTCAACCTAGCATCATGTAATCTCTTATTCCATCTCTTCCTGGCTGCCCTTGTTTGTCTTTAATATACAGTCACCAGATGACCTGCAAACAGCAAGGTCTCAGGCTGACTGGCCATAGCAATCCACTCAACATTTCATGTCTAATCATGGCCGCTTAGACGAGTCCTTTCTCCATCCTAGTCAGCAGTGGCTGACTATTGCATATAATGATGCCTGTGGCTAAAGTTACGCAATGCTCAAACAACTAGTCAAGAATCACATTTGTTTTCATATCCCAGGTTTTGACCCAGCCTGTGCCTACAACATTAGAGAGTCTAATGGTGATTTCATTCCTTTTTACTGTTACTTGCTTATCATGGGAAATCTCATTCTCTCCTCTAACCCAACTCCATATTATTATGAGTCAAGGTTCATATTTACAACAAGCAGGAGAGAGAACAAGATTCGCTCAGCACTGAGGCACCATTTCCTTGCCAAATGCCCTTGAAGAAGCCTGTTTTGGAAACCAAAGTTTAAAAAAAAACTCACGACTTGAGTGATACTGACTTTGTAGAAGCTCTGCTGGTCGGGTCACTCCACTCTGAAAAGAAAGGGCACACACAATTACCATCCGTGTATTCTACTGTCAGATGATTATTCTGAATTAAATTGGTCTTCAAACATGCAGCTCTTCCAGTTACACTTTTTCACAGCATCCTGCCATGAATAACAGATGAAAAAAAAAGGAACTAATTGGATATATCACAATATGACTTTTTGTTATTGTCGTTATTTTATGTTTTAATGATATTAGGTAGGCAAAAGAAGAAGGTAGGAGAGGAGAGGATGTGAATGTTTGGACTAAGAAGAATTTTTTAAAAACACCTACTTTGTAAGGTGAATCCTGTGGTCAGATGTTGGGATTCCTATAAGGAAGAACACACACAATACAAACATTAGTTAAATTATATGAGGGGAACAAAAAGTGTATCAGTTATTGCTGAAGATGTAACTTGATTAATGTTTGCAAATAGGAAACCGTTGTGAACAATTCCATTAATGAGGCTTCTGTCTATAGTTCTATTTGAAGGATAAGCATTTGCTAGCCAAACCTGCTGCAACATGACCATAACTGCCATTTTGTCAGAATCATAAGTAAGACTGATATCTGTTTGGAAATGTGTGCAACATGGGAACAAATGACCCACATGTGTGAAATTCAAGTGTATAATTTCTCACTTAGCTAGGCAATGAGGCCTCTAAGGAAGGAAAGGGGACTGAGTTCAAACAAACAAATGATCGTGGTTTGTGTAGAAGTGTAAATAAGACCGTAACTAATAGATTTGCTCAGTTGTTCCATTTTATAGAAACAACTCCCATTTTCTACCTTAACTGTGACACATATGCAATAGATACATCTCATTTTCACAACAGGAGTGTTCTTAAAACTTCATTACAAATTTGCTGAAGTATAGGAATCAGTTTGAAATATGCTAGTGGAGTGCATTATTCAAAGGGATTTAAATTTGATTTGAAAGTCACCCTAAGCACAATTTATTCACTGTTTTGAAAAATCCGGATTTGCACACATCAGGCTTTCTGGGAGCATGGCACACCTGTGTGGATCCTGACAAAACTTGCAGGCAGAGCACTACGATGATGTACATGGCACGCACAGCACTGCACGGATGGAAGAGAGAATATCAACTGCAAAGCAAGCATTCCCAAACTGGAGACGATGAATTAAAAAATATAAGAATTAGTTATATCAATCACTGCTGCAAGTCATCTACTCTTTAAGCCTAATATTGCCATGCTATTGAGTAAAAATAGGATCACAGCATAATGTATCTTTAAAAGAAGTAAGCAAGAACGATAACACTGTGCTTTAATTGAAAGTGAACTTTTCAATCTATTTAGCATTTTTCTGCTGCCCAAGAGACTAATCTGCTGACAAGATCACCACTCCAGAAGACTACCATAAACTCCACAAGAGATGGAAAAGGCCTCTCAACTAAAGAGCTGTCACAAAGCCCATGCAGTTTGTTGCTCAAAGGCTTCTGTACTCTCACTGACAGAGAATTGACTTTTGACAACAGACTCTAACAAGCTTGGCCATCTGATTCCCACACCTTAGCAAATCATAAATGGCGAGGAAGGGGAAACACTTCTAGAGGAGTAGCCACTAGGAATATTGAGATATGAAAACTGACAGCACGGGAGGGCAAAGAAAATGACACAGCAAAGTCACAACTTAAAAAGCACAAGAGTCTATGGCCACTTAATATAGAGGCAAGCATTCCTACCCACCTTAACAGCTCCTGAGGGCACAATTACAGCACGGTATAATACTATAGCATAGTACAATCACTGATGCTCATAATAATGTCTAAGTTATCAAGAAAGACTAAAGCATGTTCAGTATAATTTTTATAAGAAGTCAGAAAAATATTAATTACATTTCATAACGATCTTTATTACATGATTCCTATGGAAGGACAACCTTTGGTTATCCAAGAATTTCAAATATCCAGAACACCTCATCTCCCAGAGTTCCAAATAAATGAGTGGTGGACCACTTATATATCCTTAACTATATACCACTATTTCAACTTGTTATTTTTTTAAAGGGATTTCATTACAATTGTATCGGACAAGTTTGGGCTTGTATACCATTAGGAATCAAATGATAAGTTCCAAAGTCAAATAAAGCGAATATCTGATTAGAGAGTGAAACATGCAATCGGTCTTTGTAATGGTCCCAGAAATCTAGACTGAATTTTTAACCTTCATCCAAGTATTCTGGACTTTAGACCCAATCAGTTGTTCAAGGCATCAGGGCAGCGATGCAGGAAACAAATTGAAGGGTTTTGTTATTTACTGAATTTGAGTCATTGGTGTTATGCATTCTTGATACAGTTTTTAATGTTAAGCTGGGTAAGACTTCTTAAAACCAGAATTCCAAACAAATGAAACACCTTTGGATATTACCCAAGTTACTTTACATACATGCTCAACCTGAATTGGAAATAGCTTGGCTGTGGAAAGCATCTGCATTGTTCATGCAATAAGTGTTGATGCATGTAATACACATCTTTAAGAAATGTCTGACTGTGATTTGTGCATTTCTTTCATAGACATGTCATATAAGTAATTTTAGTAGTAGAATATAATGACACCAAATTGTTTTCACAAACTTACGTGAGGCTATTTTAAGTAATAGCCTTGATGATAATCCTACTATCAGAGGCTTTCATAGGATCTAGATTCTAGAGCAGGGGTCAGCAAACTTTTTCTGTAAAAGGCCAGATAGTAAATATTTTAGGCTTTGGGGGGCATAGAGTCTCTGCCATAACTATTTAACTCTGCCATTATAGGGTGATAGCAGTCATAAGTAATACATAAATGAATTAGTGTGGTTGGATTCCAAGAAAGCTTGATTTATAGACACCGAAATTTGAATTTCGTATCACTCATATTATTTCATATCATTCATACTATTCATGTTCTTTTTCTGTTGAAAATTTTAACCATTCAAAAATCTAAAAACCCATGGGCTATAGTTTGCCAACCTCTGTTCTAGAGGATGTTTACCTCCATGAAGCCTTTACTAAACTTCCCCTGAAGACATTACTAGCTCCCTCAATTCTGCTTAGCAATGTACCCCTTTGTGAGTTTTTCCATTTTCTTCGAGGAAACATGGCATTTTCAATTTGGGATTGACAAGTAAACTTAAGTAAGTTGAGAATTTTCAACTGTATCTGTTTTTATAAGTTTACAGCATCATAGACTATTTGAATTGAAAAATCCATTGGGATTACATAGTACACAAATACACACAAACACAAACACTCACAGACACAGTACAGATAGGTAACTGAGGCTCAGAAGAACTTGAACAGGACCACATAGCCAGCAAAGGGCAGAGCCAGGATTAAAAGCAGCCAGGTCTGCAGCTCCTAAGACAGCATCCTTTTCACTGTGCAAGCTATGTCACGGATGTAAGAAATGGATGATTCCTGAGAGGGTGGTGTCACCTAGTTCTGGTGCAAGCACTAAGGAAAGGGCGATCAACTCAGTTACATGTATTTACTGGACACACTCATGCTTTGAAAGATGGAATTTGAACCTGGGCATGTGTAAATCTGTGTGATAAACACATCGCCAGAACACTTGGATCTAAAGACTGGTTCCCTCATTTATTAACTGGGTGATTCTGAGCACACTACTTTACTCTGTGTCTCAGTTTCCTCCTCTGTCAAATTATCATTCTCTTTGGGTTGTAGTGAGGATTGAATTATTTATTATATATTAAGTGCTTAGAATGAGGCGAGGCACATCACAGCATTATACGTGTTGTTGATGTCATTATTGTTATTTAAAATTTACTTTTCTTCCAAACCAACATTTTGGCAGGAATCTAGAGAAACAAAAGACTGGGTGTGGAGCCATCCTGGTTTCACCATTTTATCTCACTTGCTTCTACCTTTATCATGGGGTTGATGGTAGCAGAGATAATTGGCAGAAAATGTAAATCATGCCTGACTCCAAATTGTGCACTTACTACAAAAGCCCATTTAAATAACCAGTTCTATTTTACACACTTGTAAATGTCAAAATTGCGACTTGCACAAATTATCTCCAAAATTGGAGAACACAGCTGAAAACACTGCGATTGCTGTACAAGTGCTGGATTCAATGCCTGAAACGGCTGAATGGATCCCTTGGCTGAGATGCTAGGGAGAAGGATACTGAGCCCAGGGCAGCCTAAGGAGAGAGAGTGGGGACACAAGAGGGAATGACACGCACCCGGACAGGGACAGAGAGGGCTGCTGCTCACTTAGTTCTGACCTCTTTCTAAGGTGGGAGGGGATGATTAAAGACAGTTTAGGCCAACGTTATTGTCGAAATCATGACCCTAAAAACTAAAGGATCTGATTAGGTTTCTCCTTCTACAAATAAAGTCCAAACTCCTTGGTTAGTATTCAAGGCCTTTTATAGAGATGCACTTATCTCCCCACTCCCCATCACACAAACTCTGATTCAGCCAGTGGAGACCATATCAGTATGGATCACACTGTGATCCCTCCTCTCTTCGTGCCTTTGCCCATCCTGTTCTTCTGCATGCAGTGCTCTTCTCTCGGGCCCTTCTCCACCTGTCAAAGGTGTAAGCATCCTCCAAATGCTGCCATCTCTGTGACACTTCCTCAACGCCCCAGGGAGTGTTACATACTTCTCTGAGCCTTTTATTCTCTATGAAGACACTTTCTCTGTTGCTTTGTCGTTTAGCTCATAACACATGGAGGGTTTTTCTTCATCCCTAACTTTAAGTCTATTGTATGTCCTCAGTAAATGGTTTCTGAATAAATGGATGGATGGATGGATGCTTAATTGGATGGAAGGAAGGAAGGAAGACATTTTTTCTTCCAAAGTGTGTTATTAGAATAGCCATTTTTTAAAGGCATTTTAAAAACTGATCATAAGGAAAAATTCTTACTGGGAGCAGGTGAGGAAAAATTACATTAAATATTTGACAATAGAACTTTAGAAGAAAAAGTTCGGTCAATATGATCAGTTGGTGTGTAAAGATCTGTCTGCTTGTGAGCAAGGACTGGAAAGTGATACACAAAAATGAAAATTGATCCATTCGAGTGAAGAGTATAGGTATTTTTTTGTGTGTGTGTGAGGAAGATCGGCGCTGAGCTGACATCTGCCAATCCTCCTCTTTTTGCTGAGGAAGACTGGCCCTGGGCTAACATCTGTGTCCATCTTCCTCCAGTTTATATGGGACGCCGCCACAGCATGGCCTGACAAGCGGTGAGTCAGTGCGCTCCCGGGATCCGAACCGGCGAACCCCAGACTGCTGAAGCGGAGCACGCGCACTTAACCGCTTGCGCCACCGGGCCAGCCCCAGGAGTATAGGTTTTTTAATTTAAAAAAAAACTTGGATATTGTAGTTATATCATCTATTTGGTCTTTCTTAAGGGATGAGTTCACGCCTCTCTGATTCATGAGCTCTGGGCACAATGAGTTGCCCAGTGGCAATGCTCTAAGTAGTATGATACGCATGCCAGTATCTGTGCGCATATTCTCTTAAAGACTCTATTTCAATAAAAATATCTATATTAACATCCCAGAGGGCAAGAGAGGGTCTCCATTTTATGGCACTAGAACACCAAGGCCATTTTTATTTTTAAGAATGTAATTGGAAGATTGGTATAATTGAAACAAGATAAAGGAAAATGGAGGAAGGAAGATAACTGACCTGTCCTTGGATGGAAAATGTGTTCTGCTCAGAGTTTCCAGGAGTATGCATGGCAGTGAGAGGAGCAGGCCAGGGATGGGTCATCTCCTAATGAGGAAAAACAAAACAACTTTATTTGGGGGCACTTAGAAAATTAAACACCTTCTTGGCACAAAACATACTAGGTTCTTTATAAATACTTACTGACTTAATTGGCCTAATTTTTCTCGAGGGGACTTAAAGTCATTTGGTCCATTCTCCTGCTCCACACTGATGCTTGAAGCCTACCTGCAACACAAAGGGCCACCCAGCATCCACTTGCACATTGCCAGTGACAGGGAGCTCACTACTGCTTGAAGCAGCCTGTCCCATGTTGAGACAGCCTGATCAGACTATTCTTCCTGGTTGTAAGGTAAACGCCTGTCTCCCAGGAGCTTCTACCTATGGATCCTACTTTGTAGCTGCACAGAACATATCTCCTCTTCCTTTGCATGACAAGCCTTCAGCTGTTGGAAGACAGCAATCCTATCCTCTGGTGTTGTCTTTTCTCCAGGCTGAGACATTTGCAGCTCATTCATTCATTTGTTGGGAACCTTCAACTTTTCTTCTAATGCTTGAGTTCTGCATTTTATGACTACCTTAGATGCTCCCAGGAGGGATTCCCGATTGCCTGGGGCTCTTCTAACTCATGGTAGCCTGTTTCAGGTGTGATCTGCCAGCTCAGGGGAGGGCAGCACTGTCACCACCCGCATTCTAGATACTCTGATACTCATTTCTCTTGATGTAGCCTAAGAGTTAGTGACAAGATTACACACATGATGTTGATTTTTTCCATGCAAAGATGAGGCAGCTAAGGAGAATTCTTTCTCATTCAAAAGAAGGTTACTATGTGATTAGTGGCTCTGTTCTGCCCCGCCATACATGTAGTGTATTTGTGAGTTCAAGTCTCAACATAGGAAAAGCCCCTCGGGCTCCCACTCTCTCTTATCAGCAGGCACACCTTCTCAGTTCTTTCAAACACTCAGTTTGAAAAGAGGTGCTGTTCAAATCTTGCTTCAGTCTTAGGGTTCATGGCCAACATGCTTGACCCAAAGAGGAAGGATAATTAAACCACATGCTTAACATCCCAGCACCAGAGGGATGACAAAGTTTGTGAAGCAGGAGGGTGCCAGCATGTGTTGCATTCATCAAACATTTTGGTATATAAACATTAAACACAAAAATCAATGTAATGATAGAAATAAAGGAGAGCTTTGGGGAGGGGTGGTGAGGATCAAAGTTTATTAAAGGCCTTTTTAATGAGTCAGTTACATAATGCTTTTTCCCAATCTTTATGGGTAACATAGTTAGTCATTCCAAAAGTAGTATTAATAAGAACTTTCAGGTAGCACTAAAACATGGGCTTTTTTTTTCTTCTGTAATTATCCAGTTCAAAAAGAGTCTTTGATGTATGAAGAGCTGTAATGCAAGGAGATACTTCACAGATTCATTCACAGTGGCACTGCTGAAGCAGAATTTGTAAGTATGATTCAGACAAGCGCTGACACAGATTGGATTTTACCTAGCACTATTTAAAAGGAGGCAGTAAGTACATTAAAAATGCGTACAAGATTTAGAAGGGATGCTTAACCTACTTAAGAGATAGACTATTTCCAAGTGTTTTTGAGTTGTGAATTTGTATGCAGTTGATAACGTTCGTGACAAATGCTACTCATATATTCATCAAAACTGGCCCAAAGTAACTCTATGTGACAATAGTTTAAAGCCGAATTCCAATTACGTTGTATTTTTAAAATACTCAATGATTTCTTTTAAATTTTAGATGATTTTTCCTGATTAAGGTGGGTCTTCTCCAAATTGAGTCCCCTCATTTAAAAGATGTAGATCCTAGTTAGCCAGAGTCAACCAAGGGGCAATAAACCCAGGCCTGGGATAGGAGTGCTGTCTCTTTTCAGCAACTAAGGGGTATGTATCCATCAATGAGAGCCTGAGTTATATCCCTTTTCACCACTGGCTTTAGAGGTGTGCCTCTGGGTTTATTAAAAGGTGTTTCAGATGCCTGGATGGATGAACTCACTTCTCAAAGGTGTAGCTTCTTCTCCAGGTCTTCTGTATTTACTCTGCGGCAGAATCTGATTATCTTGAATTACTGTCTGAGTGTACCACCCTGCTGGCCAATCCACACAGAACTGCATACACTTTTGCATTTTCAATTACAACTGATTTTCTGTATTTGAAAATGTGAGATTTCATGAAACAGCAAGCCAGTTCCATGGTACCATGGATGCATGCGATTAAGGTAGGGAGGATGCAGTTGAAAGGAATATAATTTCCTGAAAGGATATCTTCAGCAAGGAACATTGGAGCAAGCTCTTTCACGTCTCAAAATGAGTTAGACCTGTAAAGTGCAGAAAGCGCACAGCAGATTTTCCATTGTTATCGTTTTCATTCACACCTGAAGGATATTAATCTATTTTTATGTTCTTGCTGTTCTCAAGATAAGAACACCCATACACCCTTATCCAACTGTACTAATCCTTTGCCTGTTCATCAGGTAGGAATGAACACCTGCTCCACAGTGTTGCCAAGGCTATCACAACAGGCTGCAGTGCTGAGTACCTGTACTCAACACCATGCAGCACTTCTCCAATAACAACAAAATTATACACACACACACACTCACACACATGAGATTGGTTTGAAACTCCTTCGTCTCTGGGCTCCTTTGATCCTCTCCAAGAGAGAGAAAAAGCAGGGATTCATAGCCCCACTGGGCAGTTGAGGTAATGGAGATTCTGAGAGGTGGGAACGCTTGCGCACAGCTTCACGTTAGTCATAAGTGAATGCTGGTGACGGGTTCCAAAGCGTACACTCTTTCCACTACACCAGTGTGTCTCCCCTTTGTAAGGTTGACTAACATGGTTGATGGAGAAAGGACTAAGTAAGTAATGATGTTTTATTTTTCAGTATTTGACAAAGAATAGGTTTCACAAGCAATAGGGCATTCTACATAATTTGCAACAATGGTGCAGATGCTTGCATTAATGTGATCTGAAGACTCAATAGTCAAACCCATAAAAATCAGGAAAGACCCATTTTCCACCAAAGATTATTTCCCAACCATGTTATCAATACTATGGCTCATGGCTAAGGACTCTAATGAATCCAAGACAACTTGTGGGTACCCTTGCTTTGCCTGACTTAGAAACAGAAGCTGGGTACCCCACACACTGAGGGACAGAAGATAGTCCGAATTCCAGACTCTGCTAATCTCAAATGCAACCTATACTTGCCTAACACAGAGCTGTGTGATTGGCTGGTATTTCAAGTTACTAGTATGTTGTCCCAAGCCTTGTCTAATTCAACTTTGTAACTCTAGGGCCTAGTACGTAGTAACTGCTTAATATGAGATATTATTAGTCTCTGAAGTTTCTATGTGAGAATTAATACTTAATAATAATAATAATAATACCAAGATTTTCCAAGTGATTCCAGTGTACCAGGCACTTATTTCTCATAGTTGGTCTTTTTGTAACACAAACTAAAGAGGCAGGGATTAGCATCATACTTGTTTGACAGATGAGGAAATGGAGACACAAAGAGGATTGTCCAAGGCCACACAGTTAGCAAATGGCAGAGTCTCTTTGGTGGATTCCCTACATTTTGTTCTAACTTGTATCGGGTAGCCATTATGTACCAGTCACTGGGATCTAGAAATGATAAAACGTCAAATTCCCGCCCGTGAAGAACTCACTGCTTGACATGCTAACCACCTCGAGAGGGGAATGTGCAAAGGTGTCAGGGAGGAATTCTTTGTGCAAGGCATTTGGAAAAGGCTTCCCAGTGGAGGCGAGAGGAGCAGGGTGTGAGCACGTACATGTGCACGTGTCTGTGTATTCCTTTCAGAAGCTAACATTATATCTGGCACATAGTAGATGTTCAAACAATATATGTTTAGGTTAAATAACATGACATAACACAAATATTAAGGTCCTTACTTCAAAGAGTTCAAACTGAAGAGATGATTACAGCAATTTTTCAAATAACCATCTTAATGAATACAAAGGATAATGGTATCTCACACAATTTAATTGCTGTTGTTATTGTTGTTGCTGGAGTCAGAGGGATTCCCAAAAGATCCCTGGACTAAGAGTAAGGAGGCTTAACTCATGTCTGACTTGTGCCAAAAGTTACCTGAGTGACCACCGTCAAGTTGCTTGCCCTCTCTGAGCCTCAGTTTTCCTACCTGCAGCATGTGGGCTTTGACTCAGATGGCCTCTAGGGGTTCTTCCAGCTGCTAGTGTTGTTAACCTCTGCTTCTACCTCTTCTGCCTCCCTCCACAGGCCTGCCACGGGTGAAATGAGCTAATGCGTGGTCAAGGGTTTGAGAAACTGTATAGTGCTGTGCACTTACAAAGCTCGTTGCTACCAGCCCCACAAGCCCACCTACAGCATCGCCAGCGTGAGCCTGCTTAGCCAACAGTCTCCTTAGGCCGTGACTAGGGCTCATGATGAGAGGGGCCAGGCACACCTTTCCCCCTTCCCTCAGCTGAAATGCCAAGAATGTAAAAACTGCAATTTCAGAAGTATTTACAAATTCCTGGGATTAAGAATAATAATAAGTGGGAACAGCTGAGCAGTTGTAAAGTACAAATATGATCAAATAGAAGAAGAAATCCACACAACCAGGTTGGAGTTTATTTTCATGGAAACTTAGACTTAAATGACTCCCAAGTCATAACTGACCTTGGTCTCTGACTTCCTTTGTGGGAGGGGGTTACTTTCTTTCTTTTTTCTTTTTCTTCCAGGAAGTGTACTCACAAATAGTACTGTAATAGCAAAGTAAATATAGACACTGGGCAGTCCTACATGCCACCATGGCCTAAGGATGCGGGAACATCAACAGCCTCCATTCTCCAAAGCTAATTTAAACCTGAAAACACTGAGTCCAGGTGTCCTATTTCTGTGAGTGAGGTCTGTGCATTGCACAGTCAAAGCTACTTCTTTAGCTAAAGGGCCCTCCCTCCTCCATGTTTGGGAGGGGCGTTAATAATTTACCAGGAAACCTCATTTGTTTGAATAAATGATTTAGAACCTTCATATCCATG